AGACTTTCTTTCTAAAATACTAAATAACATGTTTAGCATAATAGAAAACAATGAGCACCTGATATACAATCAAAGGTACAAGGCAATATCCTTAACAAAGATCATAACACTTAAGATTTCTAAGATATACATTGTTTAAGAAATATTAAGGCTTTGTGCAATTTACAACAAATGACAGAAACTATGCATACTCGACGTTGTTGTTTATTGTGGATCTTGTTATTCTTCCATATTGATGTAAGCGTGAAAACACTTCTTTTTCTGCTCGGCCCTTTTTCTTTTTTTCCATGTTCATTCTCTAGATTGAATCTTCAGCTACTTAAATAGTAGATACAAAAGAGTAGTCGTTGGAAGAGATAACTTGCAGAAGTGTCTTGTTACTCCATATTACTAAGAGACGTTGAAGATAGATACACAAAAAGATCTTTATCCATTGTGTAATTTGTTTAACCGTAATATATTCCTTGTGAGTTGTACTATAGATCCATTGAGAGTGGATATTCGTAATGCATGTTAACTGTCCTTGAGCCATGTGAACACAGACTCTAGCTGACAAACTAATTTGACAATGTAGCTTGCTTTATGCAGTACAGATCACTTAGCTTTGTCTATGGTTTTGAATGATAATCAGAAGCTGATACATTCAATAAGTGTAGAGATAACATATTGCTCTTTTGATGCTGATCATTCAACTTCAAAGTCTACACAATCATATATCATTAGACTTCACTAAAAAACATCCTTCAGTTTTGAACCATCAGAAGTCAAGAACTTAGCTTATCTCAAATGTGTTATCTTAGTAGATTCTGAATAAATTCTCTTTAAGCTTTGGAACCTGCTTACTTAGAACACATATTAGATAACACCATTGTTCTTTCAATACTTTGTTATCATCAAAACCTAAAGGATATATGTCATGAATAAATCTTGTCCTAAGATATAAGAGAGTGCTTGAAATACTTTTAAGTGACACCGTTCACGATTCAAATGTGGATCCATTCAAACTTAACGATTTATCTAACATTCTTAAAAGTAATCAAATAATGGCTTCTGACACTGTAGTTTCAGGAATTAAAGTTACGAACCAGGACCTTGTGAAGTTGGATCACTTTGATGGAACTAACTTCACCAGATGGCAAGATAAGAGGATATTCCTACTGACCACCCTGAAGGTTCACTATGTCTTAGATCCTGACTTAACACTAATTCCTGAACCAACCGAGGATGACTCTGATGAACTCAAGAAGGAGCGTAAGAAACATAAAGAAGACAAATTGATATGTCGTGGACATATTCTGAATAAGTTATTTGATCTTCTCTACGACCTCTATATGGATACTCAGTCTGCAACAAAAATATGGAAAGCCCTCGAATTTAAATTCAAGGAAAAAGAGGAAGGTATGGAGAAGATTTTAATTACTAAATATTTTTACTTTAAAGTGATATAATCCAAGCACATTCTTCCCCAACTGCACAAGTTACAAGTTCTCATGAATAAAATAAAAGCTGAGAAAATTGACATTCCTGAAACTTTTCAAGTCAATGCAATCATTGCAAAGTTTCCACCTTTGTGGAAAGGCTATAAAAATAAATTGTTGTATAGTCATGAGGATTTCTCTCTAGAGAAAATCCAAAAGAACCTTAGAGCAGAGGAGGAATCGAAGGACAAGGAGAAATTAGAGTCCACTGGATTTTCCAAAGCCAGTGTTGTTATCGCTAAAGGAAAAAAGAAACACGGTGGCATGAAGAACCATCTTGGCCCAAGGAAGTAACATAACAAGTTCAAGAATGTTGGCGGTCTAAAAGTTCCAAAAAATAGATGTTTCGTGTGCGGTAAACCCGACCATTATGCTCGAAATTGCAGGAACAACTAGTCCAAAAATAAGATTAATACAATTCATGCAAATGATGACATAATCGTTATAGTGAGCGAAATAATGACAATCAAAGGTAAAGTGTAAGGATGCTTTTAAAAAACATATGTATATCTTTTAAAGCATAAAGATGATGCTTTTAATGCATATCAATTTTATAAAGCAGAAGTGGAAAATCAACTAAGTGTTGAAAAGTATTTTAGGTGAGTGTTTTATCGTATGCACAGGGATTGGCCCAAAATCTAGATGCTTGTCGTTCAATAATTTAGAGTTCTAAGAAAAAGGGGGTTTCAAAAATTTCTTGTATTGAAACATAAGTTTGTTTGCAAAGATGTAAAATAGAGAAGGATGTTTAAATTTTAAGAAAAGCATGTCAAGATTAGATCTCGTTAACCCCTTTCTTACATATCCGATTAATCAAGTATGTGAACATAGTTTCGATCAATACAATCACGTATCCTCGCGAATCCGTTTATCTCTAAAGCGGCTTCGTGGGTATTATTGTCTTTAATTGCTAGATGATCTCTCGAAATAACAACCGCAACAATAATCGTAAAGATCGATACAAAGTAAATATTAACTTCCAAATCTATGTCTAGAGTTTGTTTGTTAATAGATGAAGAAATTAAGTCATTATTTGGAAAATCTATGTCTAGAGTAAACCAAATCATAAATACCACATTAAAACTAAATGTCTTCAACATATATTGATCATCAACCTTGTTCAAATACAAAAGATCAAAAGAAATACATAATACTAAGGTTAACTACCTCTAATCTTGACTAAAAAGGAAATTAGCTACCCATAACGATGGTAGCTTACTTTACAAGTTTTAGAAGAAGATAAATGAGCATCCACGTCGAAGAATCGAACTCGGATGCGAATCCAGCTTCTATTTACAAAATATCACCTTTTGGTGAAGAAATATGAGAAAATGAAGTTCTTGTGTGTAAAAGTTGGTTACCATCCCCAAAAATGGTGAAAGTACTTATATAGTACTTTTAGAATCTGTCATGTTCGCAGTGCGAACGATTTCTTCGCCAAGCAAACCCCCTTTTTGGCACCTGAAGTGCCACTGAACAGTTAAACCACCCTTGAGAAATATTTGAAGTTTGTTGTGTGAGAAATTCTTCGCACTGCGAACAACCTCGCCTGCAAGTTCGCACAACGAACTTAGGGTCCTTTAGCTACTGGTTTGGGTCTCTGATGGTTCATTGACTCTTCGTTGTTACTTCGCCATAATGAACATTCACTGCCTTATTCTTCCAGTGAATTTACTGCCCTTTCCTTACTGCCATAATTCTGAGATGCTTTGTTGGCTCTTTGCCATGTGTTCACATATTGAACATTCGCTCGTACTACTTGCTAGTTGTTCGCCCAACGAACACAGTGAAGTTTTTCTCTTCCTTTGGTTTCCTTATCCAAATGCTTTGTGTCTTACACTTTGATGGTTTTATGCCCAATTCCTGTACAATAACACACAAATCAAAGAAAGCAAAGGTATTTTCACAATATTGAAGAATAACATGATAACATGGAGTAAATCAAACAAAACAACACAAAAGAGGTGAAAAATGCCAATAATAAATGATCAATTACAAATTAAATTTGGCATTTAACAACTCTCTCCAACTTGATCTTTGTTTGTCCTCAAGCAAAGTATGCCTCTTATTGAAAACAAGAGGATTTGCTCAAGGATTTAATTCACCCAAGAATGGATTTATGGCTCAAATAACCAAATAAATGTACACAAGCAATGGTTACAACTCCCTAAAATTGAATAATGTAAAAGAATTTAGTTCTTAAACAAATATCATGCAATGCTTCAAGTAACAACTAAATTCTCATGCTCGAATCACTCTAACACTCCTCTCTGAATAAGAATTAAAGGAAATATAAACTTGCAACCGCGGGACAATTTCAATCACCTGACAAATGATACAAATACAAAACAATTCATACATTCATCTAAAACATCATCAAAAAAATTATGGAAGCAAGAAGATCATGAAGGACTTGAAAGGTTGCAGATTTTCCAGGTTTCACAACAAAGGGTCATTTCTTAGGTTATTGAATCGAAATTTCCATGCAAAAGAAACATTCACTGTACATGGTATTTACACATCACAACTTTATTCACCAATTTCTTTTGTCTACTGCTCACCCATTCCAAACTTCCTTTTTGCACATTATTTCTTCTCTCTCTCTCTCTCTCTCTCTCTCTCTATATATATATATATATATATATATATATATATATATATATATATATATATATATATATATATATATATATATATATATATATATATATATATATATATATATATATATATATATATATATATATATATATATATATATATATATATATATATATATATATACGCGCGCGCACACACACACACACACACACACACACACACACACACACACACACACACACACAGATATATATATATATATATATATATATATATATATATATATATATATATATATATATATATATATATATATATATATATATATATATATATATATATATATATATATATATATATATATATATATATATATATATATATATATATATAGACATAATATAATGTTAATAAATTATGTTGTGGCTCTGATACCAAAGTTTGTATTTACCGGAAGCAGGATCGGGTTATTGTAAAGAAAAGAGGATTATAGAAGATTGTAGAGACAATATTATAAGAAAATTATAACTTGTTATTCAAAGGTGTCTTACAAAAGAAACTGAAGTCCCTTTATATAGGGAAGAAAAGGCTTACTATTTAAGCCGGTAACCACTACTTACAATAGCCGGTAAACACAACTTGTATAATTATTGCCGGGTATTCTTTGGACCCCATCGACACAATAATTAACAAGAAACAAAAAACAAAAGAAATAAAAATGCATGCCTAGAAATTCTAAAGACAAGATAAGATTCTTATTCCCTTGTCTTTTACAAAAGAAAGAAAATGCATGCAATTATGCCTAGACAAGATAAGATTCTCTTGTCTTTTGCTTTTGTAAATATTCTTCTTCTATTATTTCTTGTCCTCTAGCCTTTGTCCATTGATTCTTATTCCATTGTGTTTAGACAAGATAATAATTTAATTCTTTGTTTTTCCTTTTGCTTTCATACATTGAATCATAGCATCCCAGAAATCTTCTACAGTAGCTTCATCAGCTTGACCTTCTCCTGTCAAACCATCAAAGTTATGGGAATCCATTGATCCCATGGAAGAGCTTGTCTTCATAGATGAATCTTCATCTTTCAATGCTTTTGTTAGAAAAGTAGAGAAGAATTGGTTCTTCAAATGATCCAAAATTCTGACCATGATTTCATCTTCTGATTCATTGAGATATTTCCTCTGGTAGAAGTTCTTCAAGTTTTCCATAGACATTTGTTGGGAGCTTTGCTCCTTGACCTTATTATTCTGTTCTTCAGCTATAGCTTCTTGAATTAATTTTATTTTATTCTGGACATCCTCTGAACTCATCTTATTCCACCATTTATAGAAGAAATTTCTTTCTAAAATGGGAATGTTGAATTTGTTCTTTGATATGGTGATTGACCATCTCCATATCCACGGAATCTGAAATTTAGTAAAGAACAAGAATGGACATTGTCTAGTGATCAAATTATCAGATAAATATTTTACAATAAGTGAACTATTATCACACCATGGATTGTATAAGTTAAGAATTTCTTTAGGAAGAATCTCCAAAGATGGACCAAATTTAGCCCACCATTCATAAAACCAATTTGGTATGGGTTTATTAACCATCTCTTGATTAATAGAGAAAAACCAAGAATGCTTGTTCTTGGGATTTTGGTAATAAAAAGATTAAGTGAAAGCTTGGACATAGTCCCAATAATTAAAGTAAATATACTTTCCTTCTGCGATTCTTATTGCCTTTTCAGCATTTGGGTTAAGAGCCCATTCTCTTGGTAACAAAATTTTGTTAATGTGACATTTACTGAAGTTTATAAAACTTTCAGGATTATTGTTGTGGTAATGGGGGGTAATTGTTACCGATTCGGTAACAGTCAGGAGAATTTCTAGGTTGGGCCTAGATTTTCCATGAAGACCTGGATATCATCTTGATTCAAGGTATCTAGTCTTGATAGACCAACCATCATTTGGATTTATCTTAATATCTTCATCATCAATATACATGATTTTCTCAGTTACTGGATTTTCAAAATAATCCATTTGTTCTTTAGGTGGGTTATTAACCGCAACTTCGTTGTAGGATATAGTTTTATTAGAGGAAGAGGAAGCAATATCTTCCTTTTTTGCTAAAGATGCAGGTAATTGCTGCATTTTTCTGCCTTTGTAGACAGTAGTCCAATCCCCTATTAGAGGAATGTTTGATTATGGCTGGGGTAACATATTGTTACTCCCTCTCCCACCACGGCCATAATCGCGGCCTCTACCCCTATATGGGGTCATCATTTTTTCCCTGCAAAAATTCACGAGTTAAATAATCAACAAGTGAATTATTTTCACCTTTAATGTGTTGAATATCAAATTCAAACAAAGATAATTGTGATTGCCAACTAGCAAAAATTTGCTTAGCAACAAGATTTTTAACATCTTTTTCAATAATTGATTTAGCTGAGCTACAATCGATTTTTAATAAATTTTTTTTATTAAGAAGATCATCTTGAAATTTTAAAATGCATTTTAGAATAGAAAGCATTTCTTTCTTGATAGTTGAATATTTTGCTTGTGTTGGATTCCATTTTCCTGAAGTAAATCTAACTAAAACTTCTTTTGATGTTTCATGTATTATTTGTTTGAGGATTCCTGCATAGCCTATGTCTGAAGCATCAATTTCAACAATTTTGAAATACTTAGGGTTAGCAAGAGATAAACAAGGCAAATATTTCACCTTATTTTTAATTCTTTGCACTACCTGAGAATGTTTTTAAGTCCAAGGGTCAGGATTCTTTTTAAGCCTAGTATGTAATATTGTCGTATCTTTAGCAAGATTTTGATAATAATCTACTATGTAATTGAGGCTACCTAGAAACCTTTGTAATTGTTTCTTATCTGTAATAATATCAGAGAACTTAGAAGCAAATTCAATACTTCTTTGTATATGAATTATAGTTCCTTGGTCAATTTCATGTCTTAAAAATCTAACCCTTGTTTGAAAAAGTTTCATCTTTACAGCAGATATTACTAATCCATTATGCTTAATTAATCCTTTGAATATTTTCAAATGTTTAATATGTTGATCTATGGTTTTTGAAAAAACTAAAACATCATCAATGTAAACAATTATAAACTCCGTATAAGGATTAAAAATATCATTCATAATATTTTGAAATTCAGAAGGGGCATTTTTAAGGCCAAAAGGAAGGACATTCCATTCATAATGTCCAAAAGGTACGGTAAAGGTTGTTTTATACTTATCAGATTCATTAATCTGAATTTGCCAATAACCAAATTTCATATCAAATTTAGAGAAGATTAAAGCATTGTTTAATCTATCTAAAAGATCTTTTTTTATTAGGAATAGGATATCTAATCCATTTTAACACTTTATTAAGTGGTTTGTAATTAATAACGAGTCTAGGAACTCCACGTTCCTTTTCTGCATCATTATTGACGTAAAAGGTTGTGCAACTCCAAGGGGATTTGGATTTTCTTATTCATTTTTTCTCTAAAAGAGATTCTATCTCTTTTTTGCATAAATCCAAATACTCGTGGTTCATTAAAGTCATCAAGATAAGGTAAGGAAATAACATGTTTCTTTCTATCCCAAAAGGCATTAGGTAAATTATTGCAGATTTCATCTCTAAACTATTGATCAATTAATTTAATTTGATTTTGAATTTCGGGTTTGTTAAGCTGAGAAGTGATTTTTATCAGAAATGGACTCTATAGTCTTTATAGCTTCATCCTGTTCTGAGATTAAAACATTTAACCCATTCATATCCATAATTAATTTCCAGTAATCTAATTGATTATATTGACAATTATTATTGTTAGAAGATTTAGATGAGTAATCAGAAGAAGATTCATAAATCATATTAATATCTTCTTCAGAAGAGTAATCTTTAGAATTAGATTTGAGAAGTAAAACTTTCTCTAATTGAGAACGTAATTATTCATCTTCTATCTCATTCAGAGCTTTTTTAGTCCCACATTGGTAGGCATAATGGCCAGGTTTGCCACATTTATGACATGTTATGTCAAGCTTTTTGGCTTTTCTTTTACCTTTAGGGTCAATAGATTTTTCTTTAGGTCTACTCTTATTGTAGTGACCCCTTTTCTTATTCTTATAAGAATTTTTATAAGAATTTTTTTGGCTTATCCCTATAAGGTTTATTGCGGAAATTTTTTCCTTTTTTCTTTTTATTATCTGGAGATTTTCCAAGATCAAAAGCAAATTGTTCGCAAAATTCACCAAGTTGGTGTTTCTCAGAAAGATTTTTCTTTTTAAGTTTATTTCTAAGCTTTATGTCATTACATAAAGTTAATCCTTCATTAACACAAGTACTAATTGTTTGACCATAAGTATGGTCTGAATAATTTATATTTATTCCATCATTTTTTTGTCTTAAAGATTGTCTAACCTTTTCAGAAAAGAAATGGGGTAATCCATCAATAAATTTTGCTTTCTAGTGCAAAGAATTGGGAGTGTTTAATTGATAAAATCTTGAAAGAAAAGTATCCTTATGCCATCTAAAGTGGGTAAGAGAAGGACACCTAAGGTTTTGGAGAAGTGTTTGGATTTTTTCTCCAATGGAGACATTGGTTCCTACAAAATGTTGTAAGATGGAAAGACATAGTGTATACACTGCATCTTCTTCTCCTGTGGTGGTCGTAGCCACAATAGTGCTCGTATTAGTTCTTGGTTCGTTCTTAACGATTTTTTTGTGATTAAGAATCTCTAATTTTTGAGATTCAGTGAGATAATGATCCCACCAGCCTCTAAGTTGGCCAACAAATCCTGTTGTTATAAAGGACGCTATTGAACTATCAGAATTTCCATGTTGCTTGCAAACAGTAGAGTACATGATCATCCTATGTATTTTATCTATAATTTGTTTGTCTTCAAGACCATCAACATTCCATTCATAAATGGCTTTTCTTGAATAAGAATTCTGGAAAGGTTCTGATTCCTCAAAAACTAAATCTTGCGGTGAGGGACGCTTGTAATAATACTTTTCTATAGGTCTTGGGGAATAAACAGGGTTTATACTATTAGTATTATTAATACTATTAGTATTATTAATATCAAGGTTACTAATGTCTAAATTAGCAAACATATCAGAAAGCTGGTCAATATGGTCATCATTATTATCCTCAGAATAATCTTCATGGGACATGACAGTGATATTAAGTCCTTTTAATTTTTGTTCTAAAATACGAACAAATTCTTCTCCATTGGTTTCCATTTTAAATCCTTCTATGGAAACAGGAGGTTGCAGTATAGGAACATCCGAAATAATGGATGTGGATATTTGGTCTTTAGGTTTATTGATGTGGTCAATTATGATATCTTGACGCTCTATTTGTTTTTCTAAAAGATTTTTTATGGATAGGAGATCTTTTTCCATGGAGATAAATTGTTCTCCTAAGCAAACAAGGTAAGCATTGGTATAATTTTGAGACCTGATGACTGAGTTTAATTCCTTAAGAGTAACTTGACTTTGTTCAACTTTTTGTAACTGAAGACTAAGGTAAGGGGTAGCTTCATTATTTTGACTCAAACTTATTGTTTGTTCAGGGGGAAAAGGAGATTCCATAACTTCTCCTCTAATGTTTTCCCAAGGTCTTTGTAACACAAGAATTTCTTCTTGATTTTTATTTTTGAAATGATTAACAAACCATTTAACAAAAGGAACGAAATCCTGCTCAAGGTTCATTTGAGTGTAATACTCATCTTTAAATTGGGCTAATTCAGGTTTTGAGATTTTTTAAAAAAACCAATTTCTAAATTGAGAGTATCTCTCATGTTGAAACTCATGATTGACGAGTTGTCTCATCTTACTACCAGGGGAGTAATCTATCATTATAAATGGAAATCCATATCTGACTGAGTAGGTGATTCTACTCTTGGAGTATGAGGTTTCAAATCTTTTTTAGTTAACAGATTTATTGTCTGAGTTTCTTTAGAAATTTGAATCGTTTGCTCTAAAGTTTTAACAGCAAAACGAGAAAAAACATCTATCTTACCAAATCTATAAATTTGATTAGAAGGAACGGAGGGTATAACCCATCAGTTCGGTTTATCCATATTTTTTGGATACTCAACTAATTCTTCATTTTTTATTTAATTATTTTGATGATTATCATCATCAGAATCCATAAAGTAGCAGGCTAAGAATGTTGTGATTGGTTGATACACAAAGTTAAATCTAAATAGATAACTTGGACTCATAACATAATGTTAACTGAAACAACAATCAATTAAAAGTCATCTAAGCAAACAACAAATTGTTTAACTATCAACCCGAAGGGATAGAAGGATTTCTCCCAAATCAAAGATGTCAAAATGTTTTTAGCAAAAATTTTCTTTTTTGAAATCATCAACAACTCCCTTCCCTGGGATAAAAAAGATGAATATGAAAGAAAACACTAAAAACACCTTTTGGTTTTAAAAACACTTTGAAAAGGTTGTTTGCTTGTTAATAAAATGTTATGAGAAAAAGTTACCTACTTAGTTTTGTCTAAGCATAATCAACCTCTCACAACTTAAATTTAGCCACTAATTTTCATAATAAATTATGTAAAGAAGAAATATACCTCAGATTTGTTAAGTCCAG